AATGCTACATAATTTTAATAGTAAAAAGCAAGTTAGTTTAAAACAATTTATGAATTATAATAGTAATAATAATATTTGACTTGATAATATATTATAGTATCGAATTATAAAACTTGTTTTGTATTAATTTGTATATATCGATTTATATATTTTTCTTTTATTATATCGTTAAATAAAGATAATTTGATATAATGATATCTTGATATACCGATATTTTTTAGATAAAACAAAAATATCATTATATCCAGCTTTGACTGTATACAGTAAACTATACTGCTAAACTCAAAATAAATTATACCGCTAAACCCGAAGTGTAACGAAGGTAATGTTTGGCATCTTAAGGAGTTTCTGTAAGTATTTTTGTGACATGTATTGATTTATTTTTTGATCAAATTAAAAATTTAAAATAATCACGTGATACACAATTTATCGTTCTTTATTGGTTAAGACCCTAGATCCGGACTTAACAACGGCAAGCAAGCCGTTTCCCTAGTTTTATTGGTAATCACGAGATTAAAATTTAATAATGATCGATCGTTTTTTTTAATATGAAATTCTGAAATTCATTAAATAAACTATTGTATCTGTTATAAAACAACAAATTTTTTAATAAAATTAATAAATGGGACCTCATTGAAGATTAACTGAAATTGCTTTTAATAACTCATTCATTTCAATCAGATATTTAGCTATTTCTTTATTGAATTGTTTCGTTGTTGCTTTTCTAATCGAATTTTATTACATTCCTTTAATTGAAAACGACGTTTATATGATTTGTGAATACCCATGTTCAATTAGATGTGCAGCCTTAATGACTCTGTATTTCGAGGAAAAAAGCATATCAGGATTAAGGATACGACTTTATTAACAAATTTACAAGGCAATTTCTTGCATTAATAATAAAATGCCTAAAATAAGTCATACCTTAAAGATAGAATAACTGCTTAAAGTTCAAATTTCAGAATAACTTACTAGTAAATGTAAAAAAAAGTCTTCGTAACTTTGTAAATATGGTTTGGAGAAACTAATAAGTGTGAAAGAAGAAGTTTTTCTCATTTATCAAATTTAGACTCTAAAAATAAGTTAAATTGATTGATAAGGTTTTATTTATTCTTTTGCCAAGTATTTTGTTATAATAATTCCTCTTAGACCTCCTTACTTGATATTTTCAAACGTCAATAGGTCGCATAAATCTTTCTCGGGATTTATAGTTTGAATATGTGAGGCTAACAGATGCTAAAGTTGGCAAGTATCATGTAAATTACTATCTTCCTCTAAGCCCGTCAAGATAGATTTGTAAATCATTTTCACTTGTAAAAGGATATTTAATTAGGTAATGCTAAATATAAAAGACGGAGATTGTAAAGGCGAAAAAAATATATGAAGATAAATATCTATCTCAAAAAACTGCACATTTTCAAGCTGTTGCTTTCCAGGATTCCCAGAGATACGCAATTTTCTTACGTTAACATTTTGAGCGACACCAAGCAGGTAACTGTAGCATTTACGAATAAACAGTTTTGATGTTTCATCACAGTCCAAAAAAATTGGTATTCTTCAGTTTGAAGACATCGCTTTTTTCTGCATCAATTATTGTATTTCTCAAAGATCGTATAAATCTCGTCAGATTATCATCTTTATAATAAGAACAAATAAGTTAAGCGAAAAGATCAGTATAAGTTTGGAATATTTAATATTATTTATGAAATAAAAAAGAATCAACAAGGACGCGTTCACTGCGTTGACCAAATCCTGGGATCATTAACCATTATATTTATCAGATTGCCATGTGAAATTGGTTCAAATTAGATGTCAAATTTATTTTATTTTTCTTTTTTTTCTCTGACTTTCTTCTTTTTTTTCATCTTCGTTCCAATTATTAAGATTAACTAATAACCCTTGTAATATTCGTTTTTCACTTAATCTCATAATAATAGTATATTTTAATTTCAACGAAAATTGATTAGATTTCAAAATTTCTTCATCATCCTACAATAAAATAATATATTTCGGTGTTAACTGCAATAAATTTGCTGTTAATACTAGATGAATAATAATCTCACCTTTATTGATGTCTTGTACATTATTAATCGTTTTTCAAATAACTGAATTAATGGTGTTTTAATATCAAGGTTCATCTTAGGTTCAGGAAAATGATTTGTTTTTCGAAACGTCTTAAATTGGGCCTTATCCATTCTCATGATTTTAGCTTTGTTGATCGATGAAAACAAAAATTAAATAAAATAGAGATAAAAAAGGTTGTTAAGTACTTTAAGATACCTATTATTATTAACTCAGGAGGTATTTCCTTTGTAGTATCCAAAATAAGTATACTGAATAAAAATCATGTATAGAATAAAAAGAATGAAGATTTAGTGTAAAAATGAAAAATCAATTACAGTTATTTAACATACTCATTTAGAATATCTTCTTCGAGAAGCATCTCGATCTAATATCACATAAATTGTCAGCATCAAGTCAGACAACCAGAAGAATTCAATAGTGATTACAAAAGTAAAAGTTTAATGCCTTTTTGTCCTTTGTATCCTCGTCGATCGATAGTGTGTCAACCACAAATTGTCCATTTAATTCCACTATATCATGGATATTATTCTCATCAACAAATCCATACTTGCGTAGTAAATCTATTTAAAACCGAAGTTTTTATTAGTGGGATAAAAAATCATAATATCAATATATTTCTTTTGCAACTTACCCGCAGAACACAATTCCCCATAAGTATTATACTTGATAATGATAAAAGCATATTAGAAGTGTTGAATTATATTCAATGAATAAATTATGAATCATTACAATTTGTTCGCCCTTTGTAATTTTCTTGATCGCGGTCATTTCTAATAACTCATTTTCGTGGTATAATCGAGCCTAATGAATAATAAATATCGTTATAATGACAAGTCATGAATATATTACCGAAACATACACACATTATTAAACCCAGTTTTATGATTCAACATATCGGCCATTGGCATCATCGTAATTTTTTCTTCATCCACCTTATCATCATTATTTTCTTCGGCATCTTTTTTTATTTTATTTTGGAAAGCATTTGCCATTACAAGAGATCCCATGCAATGGAACAATTCCAAATTGTGTTTATTCGAATCGAAAATTGAAGGATTTGACTATTTAACTAGTTAAAATAAGTTACAAATTGTTTTTATATTAAGTAACCCCGGATGAAATATTTTACCTGAATTATTGGTAACAAGTGTTCATTAAATTGGCTTTCCGCCTCAATTTTTCCAATTTTATCTAATTTAGCAAAAATCGTATCCATATAACCAAATATATTAAACTGTTTAAGTGATATAATTTAATTACTTACCAATGACGTTTGTTCCTTCTAATTCTGCAAGTTCTTCTTCATTCCAAAACATTGGAGTATCAAATTCTCGAGGTAAAATATCAAAATAAGGCTTCCATAAAGAATCCTCCATTTGACTTTCGTACATCATACACAATATGAGTGGAAACCATGAGTTTACTTTATCAAGCTTTTCAAATTCATCACTTGATATTAAATCTTTTAACGATGATGTTTTTTCAGAGAGAACTATAGAATGCGGAATACTGAACAACACTTCAAATGGCTATGATTATTGAATGGATCAACGTTTATTTAATATTATGAAAATTAAAATTTATCTAATAAGCGAAGTAAAAAAAGTACCTGTATATCATCAACTGCAACAACTCCTCGACCTGCATTTTCTGAAGAATAATCATTGAAAGCAATTTTTGGTGATATTCTTCCTCCATTGCTACAAAACCAATCAATAAATTTTTGATTGATTTCTCCAAAATTTAAAATTTCGTTCATTTTTAACTTTTCGAATCGAAATCACTTTTTTTTATCATGAAAAAATTTTTCGGGTCACTAACGCTGATTGGTTAATCTTATCTGCGTTACACGCTTACGAAATTGTAAGTTGCGTATGCTTTGCAATAATCATATAAAAATACCGAAATCCAATTCGTTTATTCTCAATTTTTTTTTGTTAAAATGACTGAAAATTCTTTTCCAAAGATTCCTAATTTAGATCTTGCGAACTATAGATTTATTTTAAACAATCCAAAAACCTCGGAATTACATGATGAAGCGAGAACCAATTTATTTAATGCTATTGAGGAGAATAGTAAGTGTTCTTCCTCGACTTAGGTACTATTAATGTTATTCGCAAATCAACTTTGAAAGAAAAAATTATCACGTTTGCATTCAAATTCAATTTATGATCATACGATATGATGACATTAATTTTTTTGTTTTTGAATTTATAGATATGGCACCATTTTACCAATTGATTACCGAAGAACTCAAGATTCCATTTGATAAATCTTTGTTTGCAAAATACCAGGAAAATAATAAAGAAGAGTTGAAGAAGTTGGAAGAAAAACTTGAAGATGCTGAACAAAATTTAGGCGAGACAGAAATTAGCGATGCTTTATTAGCTAAGGCTGAATTCTTATCAAAAATTGGAGACAAGGTAATAAAAATTTTTTTTGGCTTTAATTTTATTTTTATTTAATTAATTATTATATAAAGCAAATATATTTTGTAGGAAAAAGCTATTACGGCATATCGTATCGCATTAGATAAAACAGCTGGATTAGGTTCACGAATTGATATAATTTTTTGTTTTGTAAGGATCGGATTCTTTTTTAATGACAATGATTTGATCAGTCGTAATATCGAAAGGGCCAAGAGGTATTTATTTTGACATTTTATCTCTTATCATAATAATCATTAATATTTCAATTCCAATTTCAATTTCAATTCTCTTTAAAGCTTAATAGAAGAAGGTGGCGACTGGGATCGACGTAACCGACTTAAGGTGTATGAAGCCATTTACAGGTTGTCCATACGCGACTTTAAAACAGCTGCGAATTTGTTCCTTGATACTTTATCGACGTTCATGTCTACAGAATTGATGGAGTATAAAGATTTTGTTAAATATGCTGTTTTAGCTGGCGCAATTTCCTTGAGCCGAGTTGATTTGAAAAAGAAGGTTATATAATTTTTATTGGCTTTTTTTTTTATATGAATTTCTTATATAATTATTTGTTTCGTTTTTGTTGAATTATAGGTAATTGATGCGCCAGAGGTATTGGAAGTCTTACACGAAATTTCGCATTTGGAAGATTACATTACCTCACTTTACAATTGTGATTATGCAAAATTCTTCCGAGCACTTGGTATAATTTCTTAACTTTAGAGAAGATCAAAATTAAGATGATTTAGTAATCATATTAACACTTTTTGTTTGATTTTAGCCGATATCGAATTAGATCATTTGCGCGTATCAAGGTACTTATCCTCACATATAAGATATTATGTTCGCGAAATGAGAATCATTGCATATGCGCAACTTTTGGAGTCGTACCGTTCACTTACCATGGATAGTATGGCAAATGCATTTGGTGTTTCGGAGGAATTCATCGACAAGTAAGTAATAAAATTTTAAAATAAAAATGAAGATAACTATTTAACTTTTTTCTTTTTTCCTTTGATAGTGATGTATCAAAGTTCATAGCCGCTGGACGTCTTAACTGTGTAATTGATAAAGTGAATGGAATCGTTGAAACAAATAGACCGGATGCTAAGAATGCACAATATCAACAAAGCATCAAACAAGGAGATATTTTATTGACTCGTATTCAGAAATTATCAAGAGTTATTAATGTATAAAAACAAAGTATTATATATGTAATTAACGTTCCAAAAAGTTATTGAATCTCGATCTATCATAAGCGAAGAGAAATTTTATAAAATTTACAAAATATAAATTTAGCAAATTTAGTCTAATTTGAAAGTTTTATATTCGAGATTTAAGAAAATTATAAAATGAGAATTATTTTTAAATATATATTTATTATTATTCTGTTGTTTCTGCAACATTAGAATTTTGATGTGCTTCACGTTTTTCAATAGTAGAAGCTAATACTTGAGAACGAAATGATAACCCTTTTGTTCGTTCAATAACTTGTTGATAAATAGATGTATGATTTTGATTCATAATAACAGTATTCTATATATATAAAAAAAAAACAAAAAAAAAAAAACGAGGATTTTATTAACAAAATAATTTATTTAAAGTGTATCATGTTTAGACCAGGACATACCTCTTTAAAATCAATCTTTGCGTCTACACGCGTATCTCGAATCAAATTGACTATCCATTTTTCACCTGCCTCTTGATCCAAATTAAGAGTTTGTGATAATCCACTATATTTTACGCAATTAACAAATTAGATAAAGTTGAAGAATTATATGTTTTATAATGATGTTTATCATACCTAATATCAATCTTCAAATGTATCCGACAATATGTCTCAGAGATTAAGTGACGAGCATTCTCTACAAATTCTTGTAATGTAGCTACTAGAAAAAAGTCATTATTAAGCACCTCCTCACATTCTTTTAATTTACGTTGGGCACCCTCAAAGTCAAATTTTACATATAAACTTTCGATAAATTCGGTGATGGGATCCTTGTATTCATAACTTTCTTGTTGAATAATTTTAACGAGATCTTTTAAAATGTTTTTTCGACGTTTGTTTGTCACAATGGCAGTTGTAAGATAACGAAGAATCCATGGACATGCAGTTTGAATGGTATTAATATATGAAGGAGAGAGAAATAAATCGATAATATTATCGCGTCCTTTTGGATGATTAAAGAATACAAATATCGACCAATGAATAAACCAAGTGCGTTGCTGTAATTGATGCAAAGGAGACGCGAAATTCTATAAAATGTTTGAAAATATTAATAAAAAAAAGTTATTACATTAAACCATCACGTGTTAAATACCCTTTGATCAATGATTTCTTTAAGTTTATGAACTTCTTCCAAAGCAACCTCCCAATTAGAATCCAAAATATCGGAGGCTAGTTTCCCCCATAATGCCGAAATATTTAATTCGTGATCTGTTGACTATAAATAATAAAATCTTTTAATCCTAAATTCTTTCCTCGAATAATTGACAAATACTATTAATCTACAAACCAATACACGGAAATGGTACAACATATCCGAAGCACCCTCATAGTTACCACAGTTATATTGGAATTGGCCAAATTGATATAGGGAGTTAATCATTTCATCCGTAAGCTATCAAAAAGAAAAAGAAAAAAAGTTTTTTTCAAATCAAAATCCAATAAAATCAACACTTTAATTCTAATTTAATGATACATACTCCGTACTTTTCTTTGAGAAAATTAAGATTTTGAAGTTTATCTTGTCGAAGAGCTGCAATAACCTCTGGATTTTCTATAAGGTCCAAGACCTTCTGAGCCTCCGTTTGAAGATTTTCTAAATTCTGAAGAACTTCATTTCTTTTGGTAGTAAATTCTAATCACAAATTGATATGATATGATGTAGATTAATGATCGATCATTGCACGTTTTGCAAAATTACGCGTCATTGATTAATAATATAATACCTGACGGAACTTCTTCAGTGTCATGGATTGTTTTATACAACACTGAAATAAAATCAACCATATTAGTTTTGGCCAGTAATTCATATTTAGCTTTCAATAGATCAATTTCCGGGTAGATCTAAAGTAATCGAAATTAGCATTACATCTATTACAACGCAAATATATTCCGCAAATTTTATAAAGATCTCAAGTTAAACCTTGCGCATAGACAAAAATTCCAACAATGGGAAGACAAGATGTCTATCCAAATACGGAATCAAATTAGGTGTCAAGTCATAAGTTGCCGCCATTATATCAAAATCGAGTTATCAAGATCGAGTTTGCTATTGAACTTATCAAACATTTTTAAAAAAAAAAAGGATCAGCCAATTAAATTCGGTTGTGGGTGATACGATGAGATTATATATAAATTTAATTCTTCAATCAATATTTTTTCTTCCTCTTTTAATCCATCCACCGAGACTTCGCTTGTCTTGGTAAGATTCTTATTATAGTTGTTAAGGATTAGATAACAGATAGAGAGTGTTACTTAGGTGATATCGATGAGAACTAATCGATCTATGATTTGGAATTTAATTTTAGAATAAAAAAAATTTTTTTTTTGTAAATTGATTTTAATTTATCGAAATAGAGGAATAATCTATTATTCATTGAATCTCATATTTTATAGTGGTAAAAATGGCACGCAAACCACGCAATAGATTTCTTGTTCCGGGAGTTCCACGTTATTCTCGTAGTAAAATATTTGCCAAAAAGGCCTTATACAAACGCAAGAAGGAAAACATTCCTAAGTCCGTTCCTGAAGTCAAGACTACCAAAACAGTCCCAATTAAAGGAGATAAAAATGGCGGAGAACGTGTTGTTCCATTAGATAAAGCTCCAAGATTTTATCCAGCAGAAGATGTTCCTCGACCAAAGAAATCACGCAAAGTTCACAAAACAACCAAACTTCGTTCTTCTATTACTCCCGGCACAATTCTTATTTTATTGTCCGGTCGATACCATGGAAGGCGTGTTGTCTTTTTAAGACAGCTCAAAAGTGGTTTATTATTGGTAACCGGTCCATTCAAAATTAATGGTGTTCCAATTAAGCGCGTCAATCAATCTTATGTTATTGCCACCTCTACAAAAATTGACATTTCTTCTTGTTCGGTAAGGACAAAAAAAATAATTAATTTTTTATATATTCATGTAATTAATTAACATCTTATTAATAAATATTTTTTAAAGCTTGACAAATTTGACGATTCATATTTCAAAAGAGAAAAAAAACCTAGTAAAAAAGGTACTGAAGAAGAATTCTTTGCTGAAGGTCAAAAGGTAAGAATCATATGCTTTTCTCAAAATGTTTAAAGAATTGTATAATTCTATCATCAAAATAATATCTTTTTTAGCAAAAGAAAGAAATTCCGAAAGAAAAAGTTGACGATCAAATCGAAATTGATAAACAACTCTGTGCTAACTTGAAAAAGATTCCACATATTAAAGATTATTTACGCGCCAGATTTTCACTTTCGAAAGGTCAATTCCCTCACAATTTAATTTTTTAATTTTATTATGATAATTTAATAAAGGTTTATGAATTTCATAATAAGGATGATAAAAGCTGAGGCCATTAACAAATGGCTTTGTGAAATTTCTTAGATACATATGAAAAAGTTCCAAGTGATATTTTAATTATTTTAATTATTGATTTCGATAAAATAAAAAAAATAACTTATTACTGAATTTTTGTGCACAAAAGGGAAGAAATTATTAATAATAAAATCTATTATCGAAGTGATGGCATTGAATGAATGTATTTTGGCTATATTTTGTTTTTTTCTATATAATACAATTAAATCCAAAAATTTTGCTACTTAAATGAATGAAAATATAATTGATTATATCTTTTCAACCGATTTCCAATATTGTTCCTGTCCAAATTTTGTGTAAATTAGACCAAAAATAGCGCCCGCTAAATGAGCCTAATATAAATTAAAAATAATATAGTATTAAAAAAATTTTTTTTTTATTCGAACTTTATATTTAAACACTTACAAAATGATCAAAAATTGTCATCCCAGAAAAGATTCCCCATAAATCAAATGCCATTATAGCGGGAAGCGCATAACTGATCTTAATAGGGAAAAATGGCAAAAATATCAAATATACAGAAGAATCAGGGTATTGAATTGCACAGGCAGCGAGACACGCAAAAATGGCACCAGAAGCTCCTAAAGATGGCATTACGTTATGATAACCTTTAAACCTTAAGGAAAAGACATGGCTCATACAAGATGCGATCATTCCAGAAGAGAGGTAAAACGCGAGAAATTGTTCTTTTCCAAAAATGTGATAAATCAAATCTCCAAAAGAATAAAGTGCCAACATATTAAAACCATAATGCCAAAAAGCTTCATGACTAAACATTGACGTTATCAATGTAAATGACCGTCCAGAAAGCGGATTATGAACAAAATATCTATTCATAACTATTCGTAAAGGTGGAATTTGCCACATTCCGAAGATAATTGTGTTAATTCCAATTAAAACTGCAACAGTTTTTGTACTATCACTCATCGAATTCCATCTTTTGATCATAAATGCCCAATTACTGCACAAGTCTTTATATAGTTGAGAATCTTCAATTTTTTGAATTGATCGATGAAATATTCCTTTGATCCATGGTTCCCTGTAAGTTACTATATCTCCAGCATTTGGATCATTGCTATTATAATAATGATACATATTTCTACGAGCTTTTATTTTTTTTGCGGAAATATTGGTTGCTATAGCAAATGTCGAACCCGAAGCCATTAATGCAAATAAAACAGGTTTCCAAATAGAAGGCGTTACGCGCTTTCGATATGTTCTTTGAAATAACGAATTTTTATAAGACGCAAGTTTATTTTTATATTGTCGAGTGTCTAACGCATATTTTCTTATTGAAGGAAATGTTGAACGGTGAAAATTTTGCTGAATATTAAAGCAAAAGCTTGAAGAATTATGAAAACTTAAAGAATGTATATACTTTCCAGTTCGAAAAAACATTTTTTAATTCGAAGAAAAAAATTATGGTCATACTGTAACGTAAAAAGGTTTTTGATCAACATAAACGCATAACGTCATACAATTCAAAAACATTATGCTGAGCATAAACACGTGGAATCTTGAAATTATTATATTAAGCGGTTGTTTATTAAATCAAATTTATTAATCAAATCCAATAATCAAATCAAAAATAAATTAATAACGGTACGTTATAACGTTATATATTTTCATCGTATAATTCCTGATTAATTTTTTCTTTCATTAATTCAAAAACCAAGAAACCAACGCTAGTAGCAGGAACAGCTCTCAAAATTGTAGCGCCAAAATCACCGTACAAAAATCTGATTACTCCCTTTCTCTTAATTCTCAATTTACATTGTTCCCATGTGTCTTTATATAAACGTGGCCTTTGTTCATGCTGATATTCAGATTGAGCTTCTTCTATAAGAAATATATTTCTAATCTTATCTAATGGATAATCAACAAAATGATATGATATTGCTGCCATTCCACCAGCTGCCAAAACAAAAGCTGGTTCAATAAATTGAAATTTTTTTGAAGAATTTTCGTGAAAATCATCCATTTCTTTGATAAATGCTCTGTAAAATTGCTGTTTAACAAATTCAAAAACTCCAAAAAACAATCCACAAGACATTGAATCCTATGTAATTAACGACATTTGTAAAAAATATATATATATATTATTATTAAATCAAAAAAAAAGATTAACCACGAACCTTAATCAATGTCAATCCAATTCCACGATAAATACTTGCAATTCCCAATTCCCTCCAAGTATTTCTAGCAAAATCAAACATACTTTTATGTTTTCCCTCCAATAAATCGTTTACTTCAAATCTAACCTTTAAAGAGTCTAATGGTGCAGCAACTAAAGACTGTGCGGCTCCCGCAATAGCTCCAGAAATAAATACAGCCGCAAATGGAGGTGGTGTTTGTAAAATATGATTATATTTCGATTCGAGAAATGAAGAAGTTCCATGGAATTGCGATAGAACTGTAATATATGTTGTAAATAATACTGCGCCTATCATTGAATTTGCTACCAATGGTGGTAATATATGACGTGGGATAAATATGAACTAGAAAAAAACGACATCATGAATATAATAACGTCGGAAATTTTTTTTTTTTTGTTAATTGTCCTTCCTAAATTATTTATAAATATGAAGTAAAATTTTTTAAGATTGAAAAAAAAATGTATAATTTGTTGAATTTGACTTGGACTAATTAAGAGTATACTATACATACACCGTGTTGTTTGACTGCGTGAGTTATCATGCCGAGACTTGTTGAATGAAATGAAAATTTCTTATCTTGAATAGGTGGCATAACTGCTCGGGCCATTAGTAAATAATCAACTCTAAGTGGCCTAAATAACTAAAAGTTGATAATTAATTAAAAAAAATTTACATATATTACTCCTGAGGTATTAAACATTGATTGAATTACTTTTATTGGAGTCCTATAAAATAATGCAAGACCTTGTAATATAAAGGACCTCGCAAAGGCAGTTGGTGCCGCAATAGAAGCCGCATTTTTTGCATTTTTCTTTTTCTCTGAAAGGTCCTGAGCTGTTCTATTAGTCATTATCAAAAAAATAAAAGGAAATAATTTTTTTCCTTAATTACGTGAGGTGCGAAGAATAATGGACATTTATTTCTTGCGATTTTATTGGTTGAAATATTTTCACATAAAAATTGATTTTGATTGGTACGAAATTGATCGGCATATAATTTACCAAAAAAGACTAAAAAATTTATATTTATGATAATTATGATAAAAATAATCCAAATATTACTTAATTTAAGGTTATAAAAGCTAATATATAGGAAGTGATCAATAGAAAAGGGGGAAATCCAAAAATTTTATTAATTTTAATTATTAAGCTAATTTTGTGCACATGACCAAGATCAGCTAAGTAGTCCAATAATATAAATTTGACCAAAATTTGGATTTTTCCCTTTTTTATTGTCTTTCATATATCAAAATTAATAATATAATCAATAATTAGATATAATTATTCTATAAAAAGGTATTGTTATTAATGTAAAATCCTATATAAAAAGATTAGAAAAAGATGATAATATTAATAATAGTTTATTCAATGATGAAATATTAGATAATGAAAACAAAGAAAATAAAAAAATAAAATAAAAAAAATGAAATAATAGAAGAAAAAATATTAGTAGACTTTAAAAATGCTTTAGAATTTATAAAAACTTAGTAAAATATATTTTAATATTCATACATTAATTAATAATAAAGATCTTCTATATCTTTTTTTTATTCAAATGTAAAAAAGAACAAATGACATATTAATAAAAAAACTGTATACATTAGTAAATTTAATAATGCAAAGTATTGTTATTTTATAATACTAATGACTAAAAATTAGTATTAATGCAAAATTAACAAAGGATTTAGCTTTAAGATTTATAACACAAAATTTATGAAGAGCTTCTGAAGGTTTATTAATTAAATATATTGAAAAACAAAGTGTAATTATGTTTTAAATAAGTTAAAGTTTTTTAATTAAAGAATTATTATAAGTGTATTTGTTTGCATACAAGTGTATTTATAATTATCTTGTTAGTGATAAAACTAAGTAAATTCTTTGTTATTAATGAAGTTCTAAAGCTACTCTTTATAAGAAAAGTAATAATATAAATAAATACAATAAAGAATATAAAACTATATAATTGATTATTAATATAAATGATTATTAAAGAAAAGAAATTCTAGTGTCTTCTGAGACTTTACGTAATATTAACTTTTATCATATCTAGAGCTCCGAACAGGTCGGGTCGGGTCGGGTCGGGTAATTGACTTGACCCGACCTGATAAGGTCAGGTCGGGTCAGACATAAAATTGACCTGAAT